TGGGACACATGATAGATTTTTAAAGAAAAGAAAAGGAGAGGAGAATTTAAATTGTCAGAAGAGGAGTATCCAAAAATTCAGAACTTACGGTCACGTTTATTCGATGTCTCGAACGGTGCCAGGTTTGCTAAGTCTGGATAACTGCCCAGAAGGAGATGCTCGATGTCGTGATGCCGCCGGATTTTAGGGTTGGACTTACGGAGGTCAGGGAGAGGTATGTCTCGATGAGGGATTTTAGGAAATGAATCGTTGGGAAAGTACGGGGTTGGCGACACGAGGTACGGGAAAGTACCGAGGTGCAATGAAACGATTTAGAAGGTTCTAGAATGAATAGGGTAGTAAAACCTTTCGTCTGGGTGTCTGGATATTTGGAGTTTTAGGGATTAAAATAATAAAACCGTAATAAAATATTCGAGAGAATAGATCTTAGGAAAGGAAACATTTGGTGGACACCTGGAGAGAGAGACAAGGTTTGGGAAAGTAGCGGGTATACAACACCGGGTTATTGAAAAAAAAACGAAAAAACATCTCCGAAATGGGCTGTCGAAAAAATCTGAAAAAATTTGAGTTTTTCTAGCCCCCCAATCCCTATAAAAAAGATTCAAATTAGATAGTCCTATTCCTTTATAGAAAAAAAGCATGCATGTCATGGCGGAGAGCATGTAAAAAGTGTCATGGCCACGCACGAATGACGCATTCTCATGAGAACTTTCATGAGAATGAGCAATGCGGCCGTGACGGCGCTGTTCAAAAAAGTGCGCGTAAATTACAAATTAGATTCTCTTTGTCAAATGAAAAATTGTTGGAATGATGATTGATAATTGAATAACTTGAAAGCCTAAAATGGAATGAAACAAATGGGAAATTACGTTTGTCGTCATATAGTATTGTCATTTTTGCTTATTGCTATATTTATCACAGATGTAGTGACTCAAAAATATGTTTTTGGGTGTTTGGGAAATTAATTTTTCGTCATAATATAGTATGGTTATTTTTGCTAATAAATTATCAATTCACTTCCGAATGGTCATTTTGCACCGCATTTTCTTCTATCGTTATAATTCATCGTTTGATAATCCTCTTAATAAGAAAAACATGCATTGCAAATTGTCATGGCGGAAAACATGAATTTGGAAGTGTCATGGCGGCGGGCGAAAGACCCAAAAGACGCATGAACTTCCATGAGGTTGAGCAATGCGGCCGCCACAGCGCTGTCTAAGAAAGCGCTTGAATTATAGAGTGGACTTATTGCTTATAACCTAACCTAAGAAACAAACATCGTGTATACATTGAATACATCAGTGTATATTTTCTACACATGGATTGGTTTATAATGACCGGAATATGAAATTATTTTTTGATGATGACTGTTAAAAATTGAAAGATAGTTGAAATGATTGATAATTAGATGAACTTGACTTGATGTCAAGAGTGGAATAAAATAAAAGTGGTTGATTGCTTTCGTCACAACATAGTCAATATATTTTGGCTCATAAATTAGCAATGCGCTTCCACAAGTGAATTTCTATAACGATGAAATTTGAACTGAATTCAATGATTTATTGTATTCAATTTATTGATATTGCCTCAATGTTGGCAGCCAACATTGCACCAAAAATATTGGTTTCTAAATGATTTTTTTCAACAAAAAATGATGCAATCCATTCCATGATCGAACTTGGTCAGGATGCCATTGAGAAGAATATTGTAAATTATAATTAGACTTATTTAAACAATTATTTTTTCAGTTATCCTCGAAAAACGATCAGTTCCATATACCCATACATATACATACATACATGCATATATACATCCGGAAATGGCCTAAAAATGCATATTCAAACTCCTGAGTCCAAAAGTAGTTATCCTGATACAAATGTTGATGGCATTTTTGGATTCGACAAATACAATGTTTCCATTCGGAAGTAAAATGAATCTCATGTTTTTTTCAATGATTCAGACCAAATTCGTAACTTACATAATTAATATGATTGCATTTTTTTGCTCGATTTTTGTTTTTATACGCGTAGTGAATTGCAATCAGTACTTATACCATAAAATGAAAGAATATTGAATTTTCTCCCTGGAATAAGAAGGTCGGAATACTTTTCATTCAAAGATTTTCAATCATCTAAATTATCAATTGAATTGGATAGGGAAAGCTCGAAAATAAAGCATGGATAATTAGCGGCTTTCGAACAAAATTCCATAAATACTTGCTTTTTTCAACATTCTCTTCTTAGGAATGAATAATCGAATGGTTCAAATTTAAAAAAAAAAGTCATTTCTTCAATTCAGTTACAGTACAGTTCAGGAAAAATTATTCCTTGAGTTAAAAAATAATTATGATTGAATCATTTGTAAAAAAAAAGTCATGGTCTCAGAAAATCGGAATTTTTCAATAATTTCATTAGTCTATTTCGAAAAGTTGAATTTCTATTTTTTCTATATTTTTTCAATATTCTTACATAATTATGAGTAAATAGCAGTTATACTGTTGGAAAAAAGAATTGAAATTTTAAGGACAGTTTAATAGTAAATTTTAGAAGTTTGAGAGGGAAAAGTCGTGAAGTATAAAATTTCACTGAAAATTTACTGCAAACTCCACAGTTTTTACTTTGAAAAAAAAATATGTATCCAAATTTAAACATTGTAGAGAACAAGAATAACGATATTTGTATCACATATTGTGAATTATTAAGATGAATTTTAGATTAACGAAAAAGGATGGTGCAGAAGTCAGACTGTCATTTCAACTTTTTATTTTCAATTTTGTGCTGGAAACATGAGATGATATTCAGAGGATAGCCAGTTTTTTCCGGATGTAAGATGATACGACAGTTTTCCGAAGAATTCAAAATAATTATGACGGTATCTTAAATATCAGAGAATTTTTTAATAGACAATGGTGGAACAATTAATAGGAAAAAGGTGGAATTTTCCAAATAAAACTGATGTGAAAGAGTTACAAGCTCGAACATAATTTGAAAAATTCGAGAAATTTATCGGATTTTCTCAACAATCATTCGAACATTGAAAACAAAATTCACAAAAATTTCGGAATTTTATGGAGAATTCGAAAAAATTTCAGATGATTCTTGATTCAAGTTTTAAGTCCTATAATATCTAATNAAGTGAGCGAACTCCCCGTGAGCTCGAACGGAGCAGTTAGCCAAAGCAGAGGGTCAGCTTGGCGACCCGAGGATTTTTCATCGTTGGTTGTTGGATTATTTATTAACCCATCGAAAAACCCCAAACGTCACNAGTTTTAAGTCCTATAATATCTAATAAAAACATAGGAAAAATCGTGAATGACGAGAAATACTCCGAATTAGCCAAAGAGCATCAGAATCGGACTTATAATTTTTCCAAAAAAATAGTTGAATGCTGTTGTAGAGGTGTAAAGGAGAGTCAAGGCGGCGGCGAAGACTAAAAAATTCTGAGTTTTGAGAAATTCAATAATTATTGTTTTGTACTCTGAATCGAATTTTGATTATAATTATAGTTAGAACCTCATTCAAGGAGTACGGAAATTCAGAATTAATAAATCACTTATTGAAATATTGGCATTGAACAGGCGATCAACCGATAAGCATTATTTTCATGAATCTTAACACTCAGTATAATAAAAGTGTAAAAGATTGTGAAGGAGAAGAAAATACTCCAAATTAGCGAAGGAGCATCAGAATCGGTCATATTATTTTTCCAGAAAAAATAATTAAATGCTTTTGAAATCGTTGTGACGTATGGACCCAGTCTATACGTCGGTTATTTTATTTTAGGAAATAATATTTTCCATTTTGTTTCAAGTGGATAGAAACTGAAAGAATTTCAGTTTCTTCAGACACTGACTGCTTTACGTAAGCAGTCTCACGGTGTTACCTGAGTCCAGTTTCCGTTCAGAAACTGTTTGACTGTGTTGGAGACCATCAATGATAGCAGGATGGCTGTCTTATTCTAAAAACCGTGAGAATGCTTAATTTGCAGTTTTGGGTTAGCAACTAGTTACAGCTCCAAAACTAAGGCAGATCACAGGCAGAGGCGAAACAGGACAGTCGGTCCTCCCTCTGAGAACTTTTGAACGATTTATATCATTTTAATAACGCGTTACACTTAACTTGGTTTATTACATTATCTTATATGACGTTAAACGGATCATTCATTATATTATCATTTAATCATTCGAGCGGTGTTATTATTCAAAGACATTTATCCCGAGTTTATCCCCCCAATTTACATCCTTAAGTGAGCGAACTCCCCGTGAGCTCGAACGGAGCAGTTAGCCAAAGCAGAGGGTCAGCTTGGCGACCCGAGGATTTTTCATCGTTGGTTGTTGGATTATTTATTAACCCATCGAAAAACCCCAAACGTCACATGGTGTAAAAGAGAATGAAAGGGGTGGCGAACACAAAACAATTCTGGGTTGTGAGAACTTTAAGAATTATTGTTTCGCACTCTGAATAGTATTTTGATTATAATTATAATTAGAACATCATTCAATGAGCACAGAAATTCAGAATTAGTGAAATTATTGAAATATGGAAATTAAACAGGTGATGAACCGATAAACATTGTGTCCATTAATCTTAACACTCAGTTTACTAAGCCGATGATGAATCATCAATTTTTGTAAGAAACACAAGGAAAAAATGAGAAACAGAATAATGAAAGGGCATCAAGGTCGCGGCCGCTTGCGGCCGCGGCAGCGCTAGTCGTAAAAAAATCGACATCAATTTCCAGAAGGGTGAGGGTCAGCCGTTGACGCATTTGGCATGGAATACTTCACATTTAGTTATCCTAACACGGAAATTGGAAACTTGAATTAGATCGATTGCGACGCTTTCATTCTGAGGCAAAATATTTCACAGCAAACTTCCAACTTTTTCCGCCTCAATAATTGGGTAATTCTACTCCAAATAAACTGAATGAGATCATTCCCATATTTCCGTCCAATTTATCAGGCTCCACATTAATTCCACAATTTTGTTTTCTCATTCCAGCAAAACTGGAGATGTCCTCAAAGGAAACATGCGGCAGTAGCAGCCACAGTCTCCATCACACCTTAATACTCACTCTGGCATTAATCAGTATCTTAATAAACACGGGAGTACTCAGCAGCATGTTGCCATCATCAAGGAGCATCCTCGTCTAATCAACGAGCAACAACACACAAGTATCTTCCTTTTCACTGAACTCACTTCCAGCTTTTCATTTACCAAGGGTTTTACTCCATGCGTTTAGTGGAAATTACGTATTCGGAGGAGCTGGCAGGGTCTAGCCCTCCCAGTGATTCAGGATTTTATTTGTCTTGCATTACGTTAGGGAGGGCCTTTTATCACAAAAATTATTTTACCAACAAAAAAAAAGTATAGTATGATACAAAACAACGGCAGACATATCAAGTTGGCGCGCGCGCTCCAGGGTTTTACCGGGGATAATCGAGCGACGATGGTTGAACGTTACCCGAGAGAATCGCTTCCTCGAGCTGCCTCGCGGGAAGAACGACGAGACCCTTGGGGACATCAAGGGAATTTTCTAACCACTCCTTTCCCCTTTTACTGCTTCTGCTTGCTACGGACATTCACATCTCAAATGCTTCGGAGTGGGAAAATTAAAGGGGGGAGTGGAACGGTGGATAAAAAAATAGAGGGACAAAGTGCTTTGTTCGATTTAGCTGAAGTACTGGGTAAACTAGTCCATTTATTTTCATGGAAATCCGAACTTTTTCCCCCTTATTTTGCGGTGGACTGCGGATTCTATTGGAACATTTCTGAGATTTTTGTGTGGAATTAATATCAAAATTCAATGGAAAATAATCAATTGAATGGATATTTTTTTTTCGGAAGAAAAAAAATAATTCAAAACAATTAAACAATTGTTTTTCTTAATTTAATGTGACTTTTTGAAGCTTTATGACATTGAGTTATCATTGAATGCGATCTGTCCGATCAATTTTAGTTGAGAAATCTTGTTCGAAAACTGGACGATTCTTATGACAACCATTTTTTCGAGTTCTGCCTTTTTGTGGAAATTGTCTATTGTGCTAGCAGGTGGTTTTATTGCATCAATGCTCTGATGAATAATTACAGCTATTTATTTGATCACGAAGAAGAAAAAAGTTGTAATTTTCAGGGAACTTTCTCTAATTTTTAGGGACTCTTAATTTTAATTGAAGTTGCCACTTAACACAGCAGATCTTCTCAGCGAAATTAACTGCAATTCAATACAAAAGGTACTGAAAATCAGCCAGTAGATTGTCAAGAAATTAGTGACAAAATCACTTGCTTTTACGATTTTTCACTCCCTCACTTTTAAAATCACAGACGAGAAAATTCCATGGAAAAATCCAGAAAATTCGTTAGAAAATTTCATTGGATTTTTATTGAAATTTCTAGTAGTTTTTGCTCCATTCTATTGAAAAATTCCGCAACTTATTGGCACGTTTTTTCAAAATAGAAATATTCAATGGAGAATATTCTGTAAAAAAATCAACAGAATTTGATTTTTCTATACAACTTATCCTATTGAGATATATTCTATAGGAATCCCTCAATTGAAATTTTCAATGTTTTTTTGTTTGATTTTTTTAAATGAAAAGAGAACAAAAATCAAATGAAGAAAACTTGGAAAATTCATGTCGAGAAATTTCTATAGCTGTCTCAATAGAAAGAGTTGCACAGAAATTCTATAAATTTTTATATGAAATAATTTCCATTAGACATTTTCTATAAAAAAAAATCAGGCAGTGTGGCTGTGGCAATCTACAATACAATCGGCCGAAAACGAATAGAACTTTCAATAAAAATGCAATAGAATTTTCTATCTACACATTTTCGTGCATGATCTCTAGGAACTAAACATGTTGCCCTGGAAACTAAAACTGTTTTTTTTTCTGTGAAATTTCATTAGTGTCATCAAGTGAAAATAGCTCATGGGACGTCGAAATTAGATGAAAACTACAACTCAGAAAAATATTTGGAGACAAAATTTCCGATTCTACTCTGCCATCTCAATGACGTTCACTTGTAATCCATTCAACGAAAGTTAATGAATCCCAGTCAAATAGAATTGATCGCCTTCAGTAGTTAAAACAGCTCAAAAATTGATTAGTCAGAGAATTATCGTACTGCAAAGACTATCCCACTTGGCAATGCTCAATCCCTAAGTTTGTTTTCAGTATTGAAATATCTTTTTCTGCTGTCGTCGCACGATTCTCCGCGTAATCCCACCTCTCCGGTGCAGTTGAAATTGGGACAAAACCGTATTACCCAGTGCTAAAACGAGTTGAAATTAAAGTTGGTAGATGAGAAAAAATTCATCTCCGAGGAATTTGCGTATCACGAAATCCCGACCAAATCAAATTCTGAGTTTTTCATCAAATCAGGAAGAATGATGAAGGCAAAAAAAAAGAGTGGAATAAAAATAGAGGAGAGAACTTTTTTTACCTCTCCTCCACTGTCATCAGTCAATTCGTTTTTGCGCTCGGTTTGAAGCGGTTCTTTCTCTCGGGTTTTTCTCCCTGCAATCGTTCGAGCGTCAGACAAAAAAATATATAAAAAGTACTCTAGCATGAGTGAGAAAAGGAGCGAACGAGAGCTGTGTTAGAGCGAGTCGAAGAAATTGCACGTGTATGCATCCATCCTGCGGCTAGACGAGACAACCGCGTAGTACCAAAGCACTATAAAGAAACACAAAAAAAAATAGCAAAAGGAAAAAATGAGAGAAATATAACAAAGAGTGTATGAGACACAAAAAACTAAAAATGATGAAAAAAAAGAATATTCTAGTGTAAAAATGCGAGAGAACGATTTAAAGAGCGAAATTGGTGAATAATTAGCTGAAGAACAAAAGAGCATAATTGAGTAACAATGAATAACAAGAGAAACTATGATGAATTAAGAATTACCTAAATGAATTTCATTACTAAAACGAGAGCCTACTAGTAAGCTTTATACTATTTATATATAAAAAAAAGAAATTGATCATTAATGGGTACATAGAGTGATACAAAAGAACAATTTAAATAAATTAAATATATAATATCAATGATGATAATGGTAATTGTAATAGTAAACAACGATAATAATGATATGAACGGTAATCAAGAGTTTAAGAAAAAAATAAATTCATGCTTATAAAAAATCGATTATGTCTTATAATAAATGGAAAAAAAAAATTTATATATATATATATATATATATATATATATAGTTTTCGTTATATATATATAAATATGCACAGCGTACATATACGCCTCCATATACACTACATGTGGCTATCCTACTCGCCTTTTCTCTGAGAGGCCACTGCGTCAAATCGGAGGCGACTAGGTACCTCTGGG